TGTGCTGGGCACTACAAACAGGAATGAGGGGAGGTGCAGAGGAGGCTGTGGCAGACACCCGGGCTGCCGTTCAAATCCATTGTTCTCTCCTTCGTCCTGGACAGAACCCAGACTTTGTTTGAGACAGGGCATGCCCAGTTTAATACTTTTGAAACCTCCTCTGCAACTAGTGCTAGATGTTAAAATGTAAACTCTTCTTCCTGCCTTGAACTTGGAGGTGACAGGTGGGAACGCAGCAGTCATTTGGCCACCACAGAGGAAAAAGCTGCAAGAATTAGAGACAAGGGCTTATGTTCTCAGGGCTGATGACCCAACTGCAACTGTCCACCTTAGGTCTTATTATGCAAGGAAGAGCAATTCCCATTTGTTTAAGCTATTCTTAGTTTATTGTTGTATTTCTTTGAGCCAAACATATTCCTAATTTATACAAAGGCAAACACAAAACAGTAAGTGTTGTGGAGCTATAGGGGTAGAGACAATCAGGAAGGAACAGAAGAGGAGAATCCAGGACCGCAGGGCCACAGAATCCGAGTGAGTACAGAGCTAGGGGCAGAGGGGATCAATTAGCAGCAAGAAACGCAGCAGAGATGTTAAGTGAGACGGAGATGCTGTAGCAATGAAGAGGTTACTTAGCAATGACTGTTGACAGTGGTATCCACAGAGGGGTGGCAGAACAAGAGAGGCAATAGAGGATGAGGGGTAACTGTGACATGAAGCAAGGGGACTATCATTTAGACCAGGGTTAGCAAACTGCCCACTGGACAGCTGGGCCTTGCCACATGCTTTTGTCAGTAATGTTTACTGGAGCCCAGCCACGCCCACACATTCCCCACACTGTCCACAGCTGCTTTCAGCACTACGGTGGCAGAGAGGAGATGAAGACCATTTGCTGTCCTCTGACTTAGGCCATTTTTCTACATGTGTGGCTGTGAAAGGAACAAATGGCCAAATAGTCAGAGGGAGACGTAAGGGTGAAGTTTTTGTTTTCTTTACAAAAAGACAGGAAAGACCCTCCAGAGGAGCTGCCAGTGTGGAGAGAAGAGGTGAGGCGCTGGGGAGGGAGGAACTGACCTGTGAAGAGCAGAGGAGCCGCCAGGGCAGAGTGAGAGCACACGCTGAAGGCTTCCTGGTGACACGGTGTTGTGGGCTGCTGTCTCCCGCCAGGGAGGTTTGGGATAAATTGGAAGCAGGGGCACGTGACGGATGGGTCTGCGAGAAGGTTCAGAGCCCATTCTGTGCAGACCAGAAAAAGAGAGGCCAAAAGGAGCAGGGATATTTTGCCAAATCATTTGGTCTCTGTGGGCCACAGTTCCACCATCAGTAAATTGAATTTTTACCTGGGAATTGGAAAGTCTAACCAATCAAGAATTGTACAGCACTCTGCAGCTATAAAATGTCACTGAAATGCTTAATAATAATAGAACTCTTCTGACACCAGAGTGCTGGGAGAATTAAGAGGCAGATGCTTTCACAGTGCTCGAAAGATGAAAAGCTCAGGGTAGACATTATGTCTTACTAACTACCATCATTACAGAAGGCAGGTAGCAGGCACAGTGAACATGAATTACAACTGCACAAAACCGTGCAGACTGAAACAGCTTTTTAAAGAACAAAGCAGGATGATATACATTAAAAGAGAAAGAGGTTTTTCACTTTTTCCTCTAACCTTATGAGACTGCAGCAGGTATACGGTCATTAGGTTTTAGTTTTAACCTTTTCTTCCGGCCTTTGCACCAAAGAATCATAAAATATTAGACCTGGATGGTCCCTCAGTGAAACCGACTTCTAGCCTCTCGTCTTACAGATGCTGACCGTGAGACCCGGGTAAGTCATGTCATTTAGCCCAGGGCCTAGAGCGGCCATGAGGCTCCTACTCCGGCTGCCTCCCACCAGTGCCTCCACAACAGCATCTCCACGGGAGCGCCAGGGGCTGTGTTTGCAGAAAGGGGCGGGGCAGAGGCAGTGGGCCTCTTCTTGGAGGACCACCGGACTCGGCTACATCCATGCAGCGGTGGACAGCAGGTGCACCACCTGGTGGCCGTGCGCTGGGTCAGTCCCCTGGAGAAGTGGAACTGACCAGCCCTGTGGGACCCGCCCCACCCCTCCCCGGCCCCTGGGTCCCCTGGCACAGACACTCTCAGGAGCAGGCGCTAGTGGAGAGCCCTGTCATGCTTTCTCCTGCGGAAATGTGCTCCTCAGCAACCCTCCGGGGGAGGGGGAGCAGTGATTTTCAGACCAGCTCGAAACTTCCGCCCCTCATTGCTCAAGTGACAAAAGTAGGCACTTGGACAGCACAGTGAGGATCATATCTGTTTTGAATGAAAAAAATTATACAAAAACCTACTGTTAAGCCTCTGGGGGCTACCAACCCCTTTCAGAATCTGAAGAACCCTTTCTGTAGAACAGTGTACTTATTTCGTTAATCTGACACACGGTTGGAGGAGTCTACGGTCACTGCCCCTTCGGGGGTCCCGGACCCCTCCCAATGCCTGCCCTCTCTCCACAACTGGAACCACTCTAACAGTGGTTCTCTCTAAGTGGTAAACATCTAGAGGGCTTTTCATTTTTTAATCCCTTTCTGTAGTTTCCAAATTTTCTGTGGTGACCAGGTTTTGTTTAGCATAACCACAAAAAAAGTGCTAAAAAATGAGCCTTAAAAAATACACATCCCAAACTCCTTCTACATCTGCACTCATACTGCTTTGAAGCACCCCACAGGCCTTCAGAGAGCTCCAACACACCAACTGCTCAAGTGAATTTTTATTACTGATCCTAAAACTGCTTATACTTTAATATGGCATATTTTACTGTATTTAGGTCTTTGATGGAAAATTCCAAATCGATGTATCTCATTACTCAAGGTGTTTTCACAGAAATTCTCCCAAAAAAGTATGTCTGAAGAAAATGTTCACTGACTATCTCGGTAAGTTAAAAATCTTTTTCTCTCTTGCTTACCCTTTAATTCTTTCATATCTCCAATGGCCATTTATCCAGCTCAAGGACTATATTCTCTTAAATGTCAGTTTAAGCTAATGTCAGTCCCAATAAAGCTGCATTGTCCAGGAGGCAGATTAGATCCCAATGAGATCAGACACAGGCTCTAGCCCCAAGAAGCAGCCAGGGAAGGTATGTTCCAAATGAATAAACTACAGGATAATAAGAAATATTGGAACAGATGGGTAAAGTCATCTTAGTGAGTTCTGGGAAATATCTGGTATAGACACAGAAAGAAATATGCCTCAGAAATTACTTCAATACATAAGTGACATAATATGATACAGCCTTAATGGTTGTATCCACCCCAGACAAGGCATTCCTGTCCTCTCATCCTCCCGCCAGGTCTATGAACTTGAATTTCCAAGCCAGGAGTCTCCTATTTAGCACACAGTAGCCCCAAGCAGTTTTCTCTAAAGGGCTGAGAGTCAGGAGGGATGTCATCAACCATGTCCACGAGGCCAGGCTGGCACAGCCACGGCCTCACCAGGAGCAGGATGACTGACCGCCAGTAAGAGTTCAACAGAGAAACACTGTTCGGGAATCACCTTTTCTATTACGGGCTGTGAGCAGAAATGGGTGTGGGGGCTGAGTAAGCCCATGAAAAAAGTTGGGGAGCTATTGAGCTGAGGTGATGCGGAAAAACATCAACTACCAGTTACTGAGCTGCAACAGAGGCTGCTGCTGGCTCAAGCCCAGGGAGGATGAGCCCTGCTTGGAAGGACCGAGGATGCACATGTGCAATGAACCCACCTCCCCATCGCCTGCACAGCTGCTGGAGACAAGACCACCACAGTGCTGTCCACTAGCAGAGGAGCAGTCTGGCAGAACAGAACAGATAGGCAGCAAAGAGAGGTCAAATTTAGGCTCTCCTACTTGGTAGCTATGCAGCCCAGGACAAACTCCTTCACCTCTCCAAGCCTCAGTTTTTTCATCTATAACACGGAGATATCAATACCTACCTTGCAGGGTTATTATGAGGATTAAATGAAATAACTATGTGATATGTGTTAGCAGGCACTCCTTATATAACTGGTGATTTCCAGCTTCTTAGTCAAATACATTTGCTGCTATTTAGCTGCAATGATTTTTCCAAAGCAGAAATCTGACTTCCCAGTTCCCCATTTAAAACATTTCAATGGCTCTCCTTTATGTCCAAAATAAAGAGCAAATTCCTGATTATCTAAGAAGTTTTATGTGTCCAGGGACCTGGTGAACCTCTTTCCCTTGCTCTCCTGGGCTCCAGCCACACGGGCCTTCTTTATGCTCTGGGAAAATGCAATCCTCCCCATCGCAAAGCCCTCACACAGGCTGAAAGCCCCTTCTTCTAGATCTCATCTGCTGGTTAAAAGCTTCTCATAACTTAACCCCTTTGAAAACCTTTCTCCCTCTCTGGACTAAGTCAGGCCTCCTCACAATACTCCCTTCACCTCTCTTGGACAGCACTCAGTCTGGTTTGTAATTACACTTGCAGTGGTTTACACTATGTCTTAGACAGTGACATAAAAAGGTAAGAAACGGTGCCCTTTTTTGATTATCACTGATTCCTTAGGACTCAACACCAAGGGCAATGCCTGGCCCATTTAAAAAGTTTAAAACTTGTGTTGCAAAAACGAACGGAAGTTCAGAGGGGGGTTGGGAAACACTAGCTCTTAATCCAGTTAGTCCTTCTCTGCAATACTTAACCATGTTCTGCCCGACATGCTCATTAACATTCAGTTTTTTCTTTCCTTGCTTGATTTTTAGTTATGCTGCATACAGCGCTGAACGTTCCACTGCTTCCATGCGACAGGCTCATGGGAAGTGATCCACATCGGGAAATGGCACGGGTTGGGAGAGAGTGTTAGGTGTCCTGAACTGGAACAGGGCAAAGGGTGAACTCTACCGTGAAGGCAGCTGTGGACTGAGATAAGAATAGGTTTCCTGCCCTAATCTTTCCTTCTCGGGAGGCATTTAAATGGACCTCTCTTTGTTGGGAGGTGAGAATTGAACAGGGCAACACTTACTTGTTCCCATGAAGAAATCATATGACGTTCAGCAGGTGGCTTTTCTCTGATGGTCACCTCTGTCACACCTGGGGATGATTCTGAAAGGGGAAAGAGAGTCTGTAGCACTGCAATCCGTCCGCTTCCCAATGTTGCTACCATAGAGAGGTGGAGGTGCTCAGACCAGAGAAAGTGGACATTTACAGGACTTAAACCATAGCCACAGAGCCAGACAAATTTACACTTAATGTGCAGGGTTTTTTTTGTTTGTTTGTTCTTGTGGATTTCTTAGGAAGTTGTTAAAATACACAAGATCACAACATCTGCAAATGGTGATCGTTTACTTTCTTTTTTTAATTTATTTTTAGAGAGGGAAGGGAGGGAGAAAGAGAGAGAGAGAAACATCAATGTGTGGTTGCTGGGGGTCATGGCCTGCAACCAGGCATGTACCCTGACTGGGAATCGAACCTGTGACACTTTGGTTCACAGCCCGCGCTCAATCCACTGAGCTACGCCAGCCAGGGCTGCGATTGTTTACTTTCTTCTTTCCAATTTGTATGTCTTTATTTTCTTGGCTAATTGCCCTGACTTGATTGTCCAATATAATGTTAAATATAGTGGTAAGAGAGGAATTCTCAATGTAAAGAAACAAGTAAAGATAGCAGGCCTCACATTATAAGCTTTAGAAAGTCCTGCTTGTAAGGCAGGCCCCCTGGCTGGCATCTGGAAACTTGGATTTCGGAAGGGTTCCCACCATTCCCTAGTAGGAATGGCTGCTGTGCCTAAATGTTAGTGCAAACAACACCCTTCATGCTGAACGCCTGCTTCCTTTCTGGGAGTCTGGAATTTGGAGCATACTAAGTAGAAGGTGTCTAGGTGACTGATTTGAAACAAAAGGCCTGGACTCCTAAGGGCAGGTAAGCTTCCCTAGCAAACAATGTGGACATGTTGTCACGGTGCTGGAACAATGAAGTGTGTCCCATGTGACTACACTGAGAGGACGACTGAAAACTTGCGCCTGCTTTCCCTGACACCCCCAAGTGCACGTTTCCCTCTGCGTCTGCTACAATAAATCGCAGCTTGACTACCTCCCAAGGCTGTAGTCCTCCTCGTAAACCATCAAACCTTTGTGGTCTTGGGAATCACCAAGACATTTGTCTTGATCTTGTTCTTAATGGGAAAGCATCCAATTTTTCACCATTTAAGTATGGTGCTAGCTGGGGTTTTTCGCAGATGTCCAGTATCAGGTTGAGGAAACTTGATTTCTATTCTATATACTATTTCTAGTTTACTGAGTGTTTTTTTTTTAAAATCCTGCAGCAGTGTTGGATTTTGTCAGGTTTTCTCTACAACTATTGGCATGATTATGTGGTTTTTGTCCTTTATTCTATTAACAAGGTGCATTACATTAATTGATTTTCATATGTTCAACAAATTGCAAATTCCTGTGCTAAATCACACTTGGTAATCTTTTTAATGTTGGTGAATTTGGTTTCATAGTATTTTCTTGAGGATTTTTAAATGTTTGGTTTTGGACAGAAGTCTGCAGTTCTGAAGTTATTTCTTATCTTTTAGGAAGGAGATTTTGGGAGTTTGCTTACCACACACCTACCACTGACTTCCACTACCTTGTTTTAAAAAGTCCTCTTAACATATTATCCTTTCAAAACAAAATACAAATGTAATATATATATATTTATATATAAAATTGATTTTCAATTTGTGATTATTAACTTGAAATTATAAGGTCCGATTTTATAAAGAGAATGTTTAACTGGACACTAAATTCACCATGTGTTTAATTACCAGAGTTGTTTAATTCCTTAGGTACCTTTTCCCTTGAAGTGGCACCAGTTTGCCAAACATCTGAAATGCATAATAGAATATATTAAAAGTATAAATGGAATTTTAAATGTTTACAGTCATTTAATTATTCAGGTTTTTAAATCAAACTGACTGTCTATGGGAAATTTAGTTGGCTTGACTTGAGTGGTTTAAATATTACTCAGAAGAAAATAATTTATTTACAGAAAAATCCCTAGATTTATAAAGAGAATAATGAAGCAGGCCTGTAAAATAGTGAGGCCTATCTGACTAAGCCCAGGAATAACAGCTGACTAAGCCCAGGAATAACAGAAGTAACAGAGCAGAAGTCTGGATAAGAATTAAGAGATAGGATATAGGTGGTCTTGATGAGATCTCTTCTTGCCCCGCTCTGTAACTTCATTTCTAAAATGTATCACTTCTCCCAATCACATCATAGTGTTTCATGTCTCATTTACTGTTTTAGACACTGGGAAACACAGGTGAGAACAAGACACAGTTCCTATGCTCAGGGACTTCTATTACATAAAAGAAAGACAAGCTTAAAAAGCAACCAAATAAATACAATTTATTTGTCTTAATAAATAATTTCAAGTAGTGATAAGGCCATAAGGATAAAAAATGTAGGTTAAGATAAGAGACTGATAAAGGAAGGATGTTGGGTATAATCAGGGAAGACTTCTCCGAAGTGGTGATATTTAATCAGAGATCTGAATGAAATGAGGGAGACAGATTTAGAGGAAAGTAATTTCAGTGAAGGGTCTAGCAAACTGCAAAGGTTAATATATTTATGATACAACAAGGACACCCTGTGGCAAAAGCACAGTGAAAATATGGTCAGAAAGACAGATAAGAGCAGACCACAAGAGTACTGGTACAGTATTTGGATTTCACTATAAATGTGATGGTAGGACATCCAAGCATGTTATTCAGCCAGCTTAGTCTGCCTCTCGATTATCTGGCTAACTCCCATTTGTCCTTCAAAATCTAGCATCATGTGTGGGGTATACTCCTTAACTCTCCAGATTAGGTCAATCACCACCTCCTGTGTGCTGCTTCAGAACAATAGATTACTGACTTCCTCTCACACTTCTGGGGACCTCGTCTTTTGATTTTTTCCACGTGTTAATCCCCCCCCCCACACACACACATCTTTGTAGTCCCAGAGTCTAACATAACGGTGGGTGCTAAGTAAAGGCACGATACAGGGAAAACACCCATTCAGTAGTGCAAGGCTAAACTCTTTTGGACTATAACACAGAGGTGCGTGGGTGTTGTTGCCCAGGAAGGCTGGCTGCAGCCTTCTTCCAGCTCATTCTGTCACTAGAGGAAAGACTTCAAAGACCTCCATTGGCCAATAATGCATCTCGGACCCCAATTCCCAACTGTCAGGTGCCTGCTGTCTCTCCTTTGCACGTTTTTGCCCATTCTTACCGGCGCCTGTAGCGGGACCTGGAGTGGGGAGAACCTTCGGGATTCCCAGCTCTGTGTCCGAACACTCCCGGCAAAGCTCCCCCTTTCTTCCTTAACAACGGAAGTCGCAGCAACCATGCCCGCTGGCATACAAGGTCCACCGTCGCCCCGCCACTCTGTGCTTCTAGTGCACGCCTCCTTGCCCCGCAGTCGCCTCCCTGCCCCGCAGTCGCCTCCCAGGCTTCCGGCCCCACTCACCTAGGATGCGGGTGATCCCCAGGGTCAGCTTCTCCAGGAGCGGCTTGCTGGAGCCCACAGGCGCGGGCGGCAGCTCCTCCATAGCTCGCGTCCCGGATCCGCGCGCGGCCGGGGCAGCAGAGGAGACCAAACGGGTGAGCTGGCGGGGCCGCAGCGTTGCACACCGCCCCCGAGCCTCGGCCATCAAGTTCACGGCATGCCGGGAGTTGTAGTGCTCACCGCCTGAGACCGAGGCAGGGATGCGATGAGGATCCGGGGCCGGTCTGGCAGTAGTTACGCGGTGAGCTCGTTCCCGCGGCCTCGGCCCGAGCCGGCGGGACACAGCGACGCCTCCGCCCTGACACTCCCGCCCCACCGGGGCCGACCGCCCAGGCGGAGGCGGGCCTCTGCGCAGAGCGGCCAATGGGGACGAGGCCTGGAGTCCGGGGCGGGGCGGCCGCAGCACGGCGTCCCGAGTGGCGGTTGTTTCAAGATGGCGGACGTGGCGGGCCCCTCCCGCCCCGGCGGCGCGGCGTTCTGGACACGGGACTGTATCCTTTGCCCGCCTGGCAGGGGGCGCCGGCGCCTTCCCCGGGGCGGTGAGCGGCGAGTGGTCGCGTGGGACTCAGCGGCGAGGGAAGCGTGATGCTAACCCCGTGGGCGGGGCCGTTCTGTCCCGCGGCCGTCCAGGTGCCGGGCTTTTCGCCTTGCTTGGGGATTCAGTGGCTGAACGCCTGATACAGTCTCCAGGCTGGGGTTCCAGGTGTGGGACTGAATGCAGATGTTGCCCAGCCGTCTTTGGCGGTGAGCTCTGGGAAGATGACCTACAATCGTGGCTCAGCCTGGGGCTGGGAGCACACTCCAGCCTTGGGTGACATCCGGCCGGCCAGGCAAAATGAGCTTGTGGAGGAGAGAAGGGTGTTGGATGATCAAGGAGCCTTTTCTTGTTGGCTTAGGAGTGCCCTCGGTCTGCGCTGTTTAGGAGGATGTCAGGATCTTGTTGGACTTGGAAGGCCTGTTAGTGATGATGTATTTTCGTACTGAGATTTTCTGAGAGGCGTGGTGTTTGCTTTCACGGGGACCTGGTCTTGTGGCGCCGGCTGTTGAATGAGCTGCAGATCATCGTGACTGGATGTAGTGTAGATTTACATGTAGTTTGCAGGTCACCTCTGGCAGGATAAAAAGTGCTTGGGTTGTTTTGGGTTGGAGAAACTGTAGAGCTCTTTTACTGTGGTGGTGGGCTTCTCAGTTCAATATCTATGATGAAATGAGTGACGTAAGTGGTTCTTTCCCTGGGATAGTTACACTGTACCGGCCTGAGCTTTTGTCCTGATAATTGACTCCTGTGTTCGTTGGAGGAGTGTTACAGGAAAGCAGGGCGATAGTGTATTGGGTGCCTGCTGAGGCGAGTCGTTTTGTTTGTTTGCTCGGACTGGTGATGGCATTGTTTGAGGCATTGCTGTTAACTTTGTGTATTCTTTGCACACTTCTACTTAGTTCCCAGTGAAACTTACAAGATCATATGATCAGTTTCTCTTATTTGAGTTACTAGAATTAAAGTGTCATGCCATGGAGAGAGGGATATTTTTGCATTCCGTGCTATTCAGTGTTTGGTGGTATACACTTTCCAAACATAATCACCACTTGTCTCTAGTAGGTTCGTGAGAATCAAGTGAAATCATGTACATACACTGGATAAAGGCAAACTAGTGCACCGTGCAAATTAAGTATTTTTTTCCTTTAGAGGATTTGTGCATTGGGAACAACCGAGCTAAGTTAAGAAGTCAGGAAATTGTGATGAGTTTTTTTCTCTTGAAACACTGCCTCTGCAATGACAATTTTGTGAAAGAGGAGATATCTGAAGGTTATTAACTTGTAATGTGCTTCTTTGTTTTAATCATTTTCATAAGCACATATGCCCAATGATATACTTCTGATATAGAATAAATGGTTTGGGGGAGGGGAGATAACCTGTTACAGCGGTATTGATTCAGTTAATAGGCATGTGAACTGAATCCACCTACTCGGGCTCAGCAGCCCTCTAGTTTCAATTCATGTCGTCCCAGTACTCCCTATCGCATACAGAAGTTACATATCTTCCTTTTCCCTTAAATTCTCTTTAAAAATTTATATGAAATACTCACCTACCCATTGAAAATGAGGAATTGAGGTTATATGAGGAAAACAGTGGTGATTGATTACATTCTACAGAAATTCAGATGTTTGAAAGGAATTGCAGGTTTACTAGGATTACCTGTTTCCCCAGCCTGTTCCAACATTTAGCCTCAGATATCTTCATTTTATATCTCCATAGGACTTAAAAGCAATGTGAAAGGTGATTGTTGCTGGTTTTCAATAAAAAAAGCATAACGATACTTATGAATCATTTGGTTTAGTCATGTGTCTTTGAATCTTGATCTCTTCTTGTCATATTGATGACTTCCCAGACAACCCCAAAGACTTTTGGTAGAACTTTCTCTAAAAAAAGACCAAAAAATATCTATCTATAATCCAGTATTCTTTTCATACTATTGAAAGAAAGATTGGTCAGTGCTTCCCCTGAACAACTAGAGAAATGTGATTGAGAGATTTCCCATCCTAGATATTTCCATCATGTGGGGACAGATCATCTGTGACTGAATGTCATTGTTTTTTCACTGTTGAGTTAATGCATCTCCTGCACAGTATGATTCAACAGTGCTGCTTTGTACAAGTTATGTCTTTGTACCTAATGTATAAACGATAGATATGCCATGCTATCATTTTATGGGTTAAATCTTCGAGTAAATTTAAGACCCTTCAGCCATAAACTGCTTTCCTGCTTTATTATAGTTCCTGGTAATATCAGAAGTTAGTGTTTCTACAGTATTTAAATTTGATTGCTTAAATGCTCTTGTGTATTATCATTAACAGTGTTAGCAACTTGATAATAACAAATATGAATTATGAGGGACCCGATCAAAACATTGCTGTAGCTATAATGACTGCCATTGACTTTTCAATTAAAACTAGACAAAGGCTTAATGTTTATTCTTAAAATAATATGTAGGCACACCTTGAAGATATTGTGGGTTTGGTTCTAGACCACTGAATATTGCAATAAAGCCAGTCATAATCTTTCTGGTGGAGAGTCTTACCTTCAATTTGTTAAAATGCAGCATCTGTGAAGCACAATAAAGTGAAATGCAGTAAAATGAGGTATGCCTGTGCTAACCAGGAAAGTCACTGTGGTCAGTAGTAATTATATTTGTACACATGTGTTGCTGGTTAGTGAGTAAAGCTCAAGAGGTTAGAGTCGAATGGGCAGTACTAAGTTCATTTTCTTCAGGTCCCAGTGATCTGGGATAGGCATGCTTTTTCCTCTACCATTTCTGCCTTGTATTTCTAATTACTACTTTAATTCTGGGGCTTTGATAGATTAGTATCAGCATTAAGGATGCATTTTAACTTGTACTCATCTTATTGAGATGCTTCCAAAGAAACCAAAATAGAACTAAGGTGGCGTATAGAAGGAATAAGAGGTCCAATATGAGCTTGGTATATATTGTATCTCTTTGACTTTCCTATCTTTCCTATAAAATATACACTTGTTGGGAATCTCTGTATTTGAAGAAGGTAAATATTTGGGTTCTTAAGATGAAGATTGATTAGAAAGGATAAGTTGGATAGAGGCAATTCTAAATATGTTTATTCTCTCTCTCTTTTTTTTTTTTATGGATCTCAGAGAGAGGAAGCGGGGAGGGGAGAGAGACAGACAGGCAGGCAGAGACACATTTGTTCCACCTATTTATGCAATCATTGGCCGCTTCTTACTTGTGTCCTGACGGGGGATGGAACCCTCCACCTTGGTGTATTGGGACGATGCTCCAACCAGCTGAGTTATCTGCTGGGGCCTATTTAGTCTTATTTTTAAAAACATTTGTTAAGGTCAGTTTATTTAGTGGTTTTTATGTTGAAAAGAAATTTAATGTGGATGTAGCTAATAGGTTTTACCTGCACATTTTGAACAAGCTAAAGAAAGATAACACTGAAACTTGTTGGACAGTGCCTCATGAAATTAAATATCAGTTTTATTCTTGACTTTGAGCCAGGCATTTGATATTTGGAGATACGACATTGAACAACACAAGATGAAAATCTTTACCCGCTTGGTGCTTCCATTTTAGTGATATGAGATGGGGCTGTGAATAAGTAAAATATATGTCCAATGATTATATGTGCTATGGAAAGGGGTAGCTATCAGGGGGGTCTTTTATCTCTGATTTTAGCCAATACCATGCTATTTTGATTATTACAGCTTTTGTAACATAGTTCAAAGTCAGAAGGCACAGTGCCACTAGCTTTGTTCTTTTTTTCTCAGGGTTGTGGCTATTTGGGGTCTTTTGAGGTTTCATACAAATTTTAGGATAATTTATGCTATGTCTGTGAAACTGCCATTGGAATTTTGACAGGGAGTGCATTAGATCTACAGGTGGCTTTGAGTATGGACATCTTAACAATATTCTTCCAATTCATGAGCATGAAATACATTTCCATTTATTTGTGTCTTCTTTATTTTTTTATCAGTGTCTTATAATTTTCATCGTACAGGTTTTTCACCCCCTTGGTAGAATTTATTCCTCAGTATTTTATTCTTTTTAAGGCAATTGTAAATGGGATTGTTTTCTTAATTTCTGTGGTATTTCATTATTAGTGTATAGAAATATTACAGCTTTTTGTATATTGATTTTGTATCCTGCAACTTTACTGGTTTTGTGTATTAGTTTTAACAGTTTTTAATGTGGAGTCTTTAAGGTTTTCTCTTATAATATGTCATCCTCAAATAGAAGCTTCTGGAAGGTCTCTATAGTTTGTTTTTTTTAAGAAATAGGAAATAAAGTTATTAGGTGACAGTAACAATGAGGAAATGGTGTCAAGTTTAAGGAAAGAGGAGAAACTATAATATACTTGGTGAGCTTTCAGATTAAGGTATTCAGTAGCTGGTTTTTCCAGTTGTGAGCAAGCTTCTATGCGAATAGCCTAAGGAAGTGTAGTATTTTTTTCCAGGACTCTGTTATGTTCGTCCATAGGTCACCCTTGGAGAATATTCTGCAAATCCATCGTTACTGTGCCTTCTAATTGAAGATAGCATTGTAGGGAGCATATCCTGAATCATCTTGGATTTTTTTCCCCTGGGTCCTTTATTCCATATGTATATTTCCAGGAGCAAAAAATGAGTCATGTACATATGTATTGAGTACCTACTGTGTGTGCTATCCCCCAAAATATAAAAAATAAGAGTTTTGCTGTTAAATGGAGTCTGCACAATTTAATTTTGTAAGGTTTTTTTTTTTATCTTAGATGTCAGTGAATTTAGAAATTGTCTACTGCTGTGTTAGTTGCTCCCAGTTTGGAGTAGTGAGGTCTAATTTTTTGTATACTTGTCTTATGTTCCTCTTAAAATACCAGCTCTGTTTCTGGTATTTAAGGGAATTTACAGTTTAGGGGCACTAGTTATCAGCCAAAATCTTGAAGCTGTGATAGTGTATGTGCTGCTCCAGAAAGCTGTTGGAAATCAGCTGGCAGCTCAGACAGTGGGCATGGTCTGTCACCTTCGTGTTCCTAAATTCCTGTCGGAATTCTCTGCATGTCTGCTCAGCATTTCCCGGAAAGACTCCATTACTAAGGTTAATCATGAGCTGAAATACATGGACTTTTTCAACATGTTATTAAATCCCCTATTTTATTCCATCCCTTTTCTGGAAGGAAATAGTTCATAATTGATTGTCTGGAAATCTTGGAAAAGAAAACATTTTATCAAAAAACAGATGACTTTGGAATGTTCTAGATCATTGGAATAAAATGTTTAGATGCTTCCTTCTTGTAAGTGTTATCAAACTGTGGACATATCTGGATTTAGATATGTTTCTGAATAAAATTTTGTTTCTGGAAAAAATGCTTTCTTATTGTATTGGTTCTCTTTCTCAAGCAGTATTATGATCTTAGTGGCCTTTCTAAATTTCTCTTTTTGAAATTCAAAATACTGTAGTTCTTTTTGTCTTAAATTTCTTCCATTTGTTAAATAGGGCTTCTTGGGACATTTCACGTATACACTACAAAGAATAAAAAAATGCCTTTGTGTTTGCATGATTGACTTGCCCTCAAACAGTGTTTGTTTTTCAAAGATAAAGCTCATTTTAAAAGTATTTATATTCATGCCTAAAGTAACTTGTCAGCTTTCCAGCACTGAAGCACTGAACTCTTGGTTCACAAAAGGAAAGGAAATGAAAGGATCCGAATGGCAGAATTTGTAGTATAGGATATCTCACTTGGGAATAAATTGGATGAAAGTTTTATGGAACTAGGCCATCCAAAATTTTTACAAAATATATAGCTGTGACTTTATAAAAATGAACTTTAAAAGAATATTAACTTTGCTACATTTAAGTCACTTACTTTGCTTCAAAGTTTTGTTTTTAAAAGGTAGTTATATATTCCAAGGTCAATAGGAATTATGAATTATAACAAAAGTACAGAAGAGAGGCAGCACTTGGATATTGGATAATCTTTACTAGTATTTTCCTTCATGTCTTCCTGCATAGTTTCTGATGAAGAACAATCAGTAGTATATGTTCCAGGTATGATTTTCTATGTTAATTTGGTAAGCTTTCTTTGCTTAGGAGAAAGGTAAAACATCAGGATGAATTTACAGGTGTAACTAGTTGTGGAACAGTTCATTAGATCCTAAAATTTAAAAAAATAGTATGACCCTATTAAGGTTAAAAATACTTTATGTATTAAGGAGTAAGAGATTTTTACTATTTTTATAAGTAATAGCTTAAATTTAATATTTCAAAGAAAAACATGAAAACTTCTTGATACAGAGTTTATGCAGTAGACTCTAAAGTTTACTGAACTATCAAAAGTACCCCAATTATGTGACAAATCAGACCTTTAATTTCCCCTAAGTTAAGGTATGTGTGGCATGTTGTAACTTACTGGCTTTAATATGACTTATGAATGTGCCAGCACCTTTTAAAAATATTGCAGTTGAATCTTTAATGTATTCAAAACAATCTTTTCATGATTCATTATTTATTCAGAGAGCTTTAAAATGAAGCGAGTGTTTTCCCTATCAGGTCCTATAAAGCAGAGGATATCAACAGAGAGGTTGATGGGGGGAGGGCTGAAGAGTATGAGAAAATATAATTTTAAAGTCTAATGTGATACAAATCCTTAGGAATTTCTGCAGAAGGAAATATCAGATCAAGACACAAGTTGATGAGCCCAAAAGCTAATGTTAAATTCAAGACTTCCAGGGTGGCTGCTGATTCGGTCTCCATGGATTCTTTAAAAGGTGCAGGAGATTCCATAAATGAACAGGTACAGTAATTTCTTATTTGTTTTTTTTGTTATTCTTCAGTTTTTTATGAATACTGACCAGTAACTGATTTTTCTTTGCTAACTGTCCATTGATGGTCATTGGTGCCAATTCAGTGCCAACAAGAATTCCCAATTTGGAGTCTGGTGAAGACAGAAACTTTATTCAGTGCAAAACAGCTCAGTTGTGATACAGCCTGGCTGTGAAAACAGTGAGGCTGTGGAGCAGCTCAGTAATGTTATAGCTCAGTTAAAAGCAGCGTGGTTGTGAAGAGGCCCTGGGGTGAAGCCCTCTGGGGTTTGTCAGCTCTGCTCTGGTATTTGCCACCTGCTTAGGTCCCTTGTCTTGTGTCAGTCTGCCTCTGCACAGGTCTGCCTCTGAGCCAGCCACCTCCACTCCACTCCTCTGGTCGCCCATCTTTAGAGTTTCATTTCCAGCTGGGAAAATTCAACCTCCCTCTTCCATGGAAAAGGAAAGGGTGTTCCTACAGCCAATGGGGAGCTGACTTAAAAAGATAGAAGTCTCTGCCCAAAGTTCTGATTGGCCTGTCCTCATGCAATTGAGGACTCCAAATTGTTGCAGTTTTATTGGCCCAAAAAGCAATGTCCTGATTGGTCAGAATGGAGTTGTTCTGATTGGTTGGTGGAGATATTGATGGCAAAGCCTCAGCCCTATTGGTTGAAACAGAATTCCAGGAACTCCTCTTTGTATAAGGGATGGCTCAGGATGACAGAAACACAGTGCTGGGAAGCAATTCAGTGCAGGAGACAGGCAGCTTAATGTAGGCTTCTCCCTGAAGTGTGGTTTGTGTGAGAGGCCTCTATTACTTTTAGGCTCTGTTTTTTCTGTGTGTGTGTTTGTTTTTTGATTTTTAATTTAAACCCAGTGAAGCCATTATGATCCCTTCTTAGTAGAGTATCTTCTTTCTCAGGGTCCACATGACCAATAACTGATACCGTTTGCTTGGGTAGAAGAGTCATTGAAAGAACATTAGATGATCTATAAGCATTCTGAAAAGATGCAAATACGGAGGATTCTAGGGTGCTTTGATGATGCGTAGTATGAATATAAAGTGTTTAGCTTCAAAATATCTGAGCTTTAAGACTTGGCTAAGAAAATTCATTATCTTGGTATGTCTCAAAGACCTGCATTCTGGCTCTCACCGTTGTGGCTCGGTTGGGTGCTGTACTGCAAAGTGAAAGGTTCCTGGTCAGGGCACTTGCCTGGGTTGCAGGTTCTCTCCCCTGTCAGGGCGGGGCCTTGGGCAAGAGGTATCTGATCAATGTTTCTCTCTCATCTCACATCCATGTTTCTCTCTCTCTCTTTCTCCCTTCCCCTCTCTCTAAAAATAAAATCTTAAAAAAAAATGAAGGCCTACATTCTGGTCTGTGTGGAGTTAGTAAAACTCACAACTCTTTTTTATATTAGATGTCTTTTGTGATTTTTGTTCATTTGAATTTTTTGGTTGATGATGAATAAACCCTTAAATGTAAGAAAGATATTTTCATTGAAAGGAAATTAGCCTGCATTATTATTATTATTAATTATTTCCTTCACTTGGAAATAATATCCTAAAGATCCTTCCTTTTTCTGGCCCAATCATTGATCTCTCCTTCATTTTTGTCTGAGCAATAGCACCTCCACATTCCTTTGACACATGTAGTGAGTGGCTTATTTCACTTTTTGTTATGTTTTGACTTCCCAAGCAAAGTTTGAGTCATGATTTAGCAATCTTGTGACCTGCAGGCCAGATCTGCTTGCCACCTCTTATAAATAAAGTTTTATTGGAATATAACCACACTTATTCTTTTAATATTTATGACTCTTATGTTCAGTAGTAGATTTGCTACAGAGACTATATGGCCACAAAACCAGGAACATTTACTGGTGAACCATTTATAGAAAAAGTTCTCAATCCCTGATCTATGTTCTCGAGGGCATTTCCACTATCTAGTTGGTTACTAATGATTACATTGAGTAGGCTGCAGGATTTAACTGTAAGTTTACTTGTGTTACGTGTATCCCCCATGTACTCTCTTCACACTGGGATGTGAATAGTTGAATTTGCAAGTTCTAATCAAAATTTGACATTTTTAAATTTTAAAAAAATTTTTATTTATTGATTTTTAGAGAGAGAGGGGAAGGGGGGGAGAGAGAGAGAAGCATCTGATGTTCTTCCACTTATTAATGCAGTCATCAGTTGCCTCTTGTATGTGCCCTGACTGGGGACCAAACCCACGACCTTGATGTATCAGGGTGACACTCTAACCAACTGAGCTACCTAGCTAGGGCTGAAATTTTTTTAATAAATTTGTTATATATTCAACTGTAACCTTTTGGATTAAGTCCATACTTTTTTAATGATTCTATTAGCTTGTTAGCTATACGTTTTGTTGGGCTATTTCACTGGCTTTGGGGATTATAGTATACATTTTTAATTTATCACAGCCTATTTTCAAAGGATATTTTCCCACTTCACCTGTAATTTAAAGACTATTCAACAGTGTAAGTCCTCAAGGACAGGAGACAGGATAGTGCAGTGGTTAAAGCACAGACTCTGGAACCCAGTCTTGGTCCTGCTTCCTAACTGCTATAAACCCAGACAAGATATGTATCCTCACTTTAAAATAAGAATAATACCTACCTGTTGGCATTGTTGGGAAAATGAGATGGATTAGTAAGGGTAAAGTACTCAGAATATTCGTAGCATGCAGTGAGCCTTAGATATGCGTTAGCTGTTATTACTGCTCTTTGGTCTAGTGCCCTTTGGAGTGAACTGGAGAGGCTGAAACAGATGCGTCTGCTGCCAACCTTAGTTTACTTGTAAGTGGGGCTACAGTGGAAGAAAGGTCCTCACTGTCTTTCATTATGTGTTTCTTTCTGTGACATTCACCAAGGTAAAGATTTTTTTTCCTTTATATATTCCCTAGTGTTTAAGCACAGTCATTCCTGCCTTTGAGTTCTTTCTGTCTGCTTTCTGTGGAAATTTCATGCTGTCCCCAGTGGGCAGACAGTTCCTTACCCTGTGCTGAGTTCACAGTAAGTTTTAAATGAAACAGGCTAATAGTGTTTCCACAAGGTAAAAGATATTTAAGAAATTTCACCTCCTGTGCTTATTTTAAGAAATTTCTTGCAGAGTCTTAAAAATTGTTTTTAGCAAAAGTTAACCAAAAGTTTTTTTTCTGTTTTAGAATTTCTGCAAGGGAGGAGTAAAGAGTGCATCATTGAAGGATTTATGTCTTGAAGACAAAAGACGCATTGCAAATTTAATTAAAGAACTAGCCAGGTGAGACAAAGCCTTACATGAAATGCATTATGATATAAGAGAGAAAATTAAAGAACTTGAAAACACATGAGTTTCATTTTCCTCTCTTGATTATATGTCATATAGTGTCAAAACTTATATTTATGTTTTAATTTAATGCAATATAATTATTACTTTTTTGTATTATTTTGAAATAATTTTAGGCTTATAGAAAAATTGCAAAAATATTGGGGGAATAAGGAACAGGTAGTGACTGCTAATGAGTATAAGGTTTCTTTTTGGGAGGATGAAAATGTTCTAAAATTATATTATGGTGATGTTTACAGAACTCTAAATATACTAAAAGCCATTGCATTATACCCTCTAATGGTTGAACGTTATTATATGTAAATATATCTCAATAGAGCTCTTAAAAATTGGTATGGAGCGTTCTCATACCTTTCACATAACTTCCTCTGAATTATCACCCTGAATAACCATAGTGCAATTGTCAGAAATTAGCATTGGTATAATGTAGTACTCATTAACTACAGAGTGTTCAGATTTCACCAGTTTTTTCACTAATACATTTTTCTGTTCCAGGGTTTGTACTCAGTCTCTCTGTTTCCTTAGTCTCCTCCCGTGGGTGGCAGTTCCTTAGCCTTGCCTTGCCTTCCATGGCTGTGACACTTTTGAAGAAAGTGGTCAGCTTTTTTGCAGTATTTCTTTCAATTTGGGTTTTTCAGGGTGCGTGTGATAACAATGTTGCATTATGATGCGTTATATTGGGGGGGTGATGTTGAAATGTTGTTACTGGTGGTTTTAAGTATGATAACTTGGTCAGTGTAGAGAGTATGAGGTTTTTCTCCTGAAAAGTTGTATTTTTCTGTGTGATTTATGAATATCTTAAGGAGGTTCATGGAGACTGTTCAAATACACTGTTGTTTTTCCTGGACTCTTACCCACTATTATAAGCATTGCGTCCGTCAAAGGAACTTGTCTGGGACAGCTGTGTGGCTGTGATGTCCTAATGGTGACTTTGTAGTCCCCCTGTTTATTTTGCATTTATTAACTGGAATTATTGTTTAAAGATGAGCTGTCCCTTCTGCCCTATTTATTTTTGTTTATTATGTATTTCAGTATTTATTTTTATTAGTATCAGACTAAGAGACATTTTAATTTTTTTTTTAATATTTTGAGGTTTACCTGCAAGAACTAATGGAGAGGGAGAACCCATGCCCCTTTACCCAGTTTTCACAACTGGGAGTATTTTGATTAACTATACAGTACAGCATCACAATCCGGAAATGGGCATTTGATGAAATTCATCAACCTCCTGTAGATTTTACATGTACTCATTTGTGTGTATAATTAATTCTGTGCAGTTTTGTCACCCGTGTAGATCTGTGTGCCATCACACAGTCAGACACAAAACAGGTCTGTCCCAAGGACACCCATCCTGCCCTTTTATAGATGTAACCACTTCCCTTCCTACCCCTCCCTGCTCCCTGGCAGCCACCACTCTGCTCTTCATCCCTCTAATTTCGTCATCTCAAGAATGGTCTGTAAATGGGATCATACCTGGTGCAGCCTTTTGAGATTGACTCCCCCTCCCCTCGCAACTCAGTGTAATTCTTTTTAGATCTTTCAGAGTTGTTGTGTGTATCAATAGTTTGTTCCTTTTATTGCTGAATAGGGTTCCGCACAAAGAATGTACCATGGTTTATTTAACCATTCACCTGTTGAAGGTTATTTTGATTGTTTCCAGTTTTTGACTGTTACAAATGAAACTGCTATGAACATATATATAGGTTTTTGTGTGAACATAACCTTGTCATTTCCTTGGAATATGGTGTCATAAATGCATGCTCAGTTGCATTAAGAAATTGCTGAACTATTTTTGAAAGTGGTTTATCACTTTGCATTCTCACAGTAATTCAAGAACAATGTAGGTGCTCTGCAGTTTTGCTAACGTTTGTTGTCATTGTTATTTATTTTAGCCGTTCTGACAGATGTTTAGTGTTACTGCGTTGTGATTTTAATTGGCATTTCTACAGTGGCCAGTGATGTTAGATGACGTTTCACATGCTTATCTGCCATCAGTATCTTCCTCAGTGAAATGGCTGTTCATCTTTTTTGCCCATTTCCTATTGAAATGTTTGATTTTATTGATTGATGACTTTTGAGAGTTCTTTATGTTTTATATACAGATATTTTATTGGATACATATATAATTTGCAAATACTTTTTACTAATCTGTAGCTTGCCTTTTTATCCCCTTTGCAGAGTCTTTCATAGAGCAAAAGTTTTTAATTTTAACTAGGTTCAGTTTATCAGTTTTTCATCTTATACATTGTGCTTTGATTATCAAGTCTAAGAACTCTTGTGTAGTCTTAGTACCTAAAGACTTTCTCCTGTTGTCCAATTTGTTGGCATGTAGTTGTTAGTAAGATTTTTATATAATCCTTTGTCTTTCTTTCATTTCTGATTTTATTTATTTGGGTCCTCTCTTTTTTTTCTTGGTGAGTCTGGTTAAAGGTTTGTCAATCTTGTTTATCTTTTCAAAGAACCAACTCTTGGATTCGTTGACCTTTTGTATTTTTTTTAGACTCTATTTTATTTATTTCTGCTCTGCTCTTAATTATTTCCTTCCTTCTACTCACTTTTGGCTTTGCTTGTTGTCCTTTTTTCACCTTCCTTTAAGTGTAAAGTTAGATTGTTTATTTGAGCTTTTTCTTGTTTTCTGAGATAGGCCTGTATTGCTATGAATTTTCCTTTTAGGAGTACTTTCCCTGCGTCCCACAGATTTTGTGGTTGTTTTGTTCTTATTTTCATTTGTTTCAGGGTATCTTTTGATTTCTTCCTTGATCTTATTATCAATTCATTCGTTGTTTAATAACATGTTATTTAGCTTCCATGTCTTTGTTATTTTTCAGTGTTCCTCTTGTGATTGATTTCTAGTTTCATAACATTGTGGTCAGAGAAGATGCTTGATATGATTTCAATCTTATTAAATTCATTGAGACTTGTTTTTTTGTCCCAGCATATGATCTATCCTAGAAAATGTTTCATATGCACTTGAAAAATATGTATGTTCTGCTTTTTGGGGGTAAAATGCTCTGAATATATCAATTAAATCCATTTATGTAGTGTATTATTTAAAGCTGCTGTCTCCTTGTTGATTTTCAGTCTGGAAGATCTGTCCATCGAAGTCAGTGGGGTGTCACAATCCCTGTGACTGTATTTCTGTCGATCGCTCCCTTTATGTCCATCATGATTTGCTGTACATATTTAGGTGCTCCTGTGTTGGGTGCATGAGTGTTTCCTGGGGTTACATCCTCTTCTTGGCTTGTTCCCTTTATCATTATGTAGTGTCCTTCTTTGTCTGTTACCATAGCCTTGGTTTTAAAGTCTGTTTTGTTGGATATTAAGTACTGCTACCCCAGCTTTTTTCCCCTTTGCATGAAATATCTTTTTCCATCCCTTTACTTTATTCTGTGTGTATCTTTTGATTTGAGGTGGGTCTCTTGGAGACAAGTCATGGGACTTATTATAGAATTTTAGAATAAGATTGTCAGTTCTCAGAAAAAAACAACACCCCTCTGCTGGCATTTTAATAGGTACTACATTAAAAATATAGATCAATTTTGGGAGGAATTGACATCTTTACTGTATTGAGTCTTCCGATCCATGTGCATGGTGTGTCTGTCCATTTATTTAGTTCTTTGATTTCTTTCAACGGTGTTTTATAATTTTCAGAATACAGATCCCATACATTTTTTCTCATATTTATAGATAAGTATTTAATTGTTTGGGGAACAATTATAAGTGGTATTGTGTTTTAAGTTTCGTTTTCACATTGGGTGTTTCATGTTTGTTGTTGAAATATGTTTGAATTTTGTGTGTTTATCTTGATTCCTGCCTCCTTCATGAACTCACATATTAGTTCTAGGAGTTTTACTGTTGACTCTTTGGGACCATGACAGTCATGTCATTTGCAAATAGGGACAGTTTTATTACTTTTTTTCTAATATATGTATTTTTTATTTTATTTTTTCTTGCCTTGTGATGCTGGCTAGGACTTCCAGTGCTATGTGAATAGGAGTGATAAGAGATGATGTCCTTACTATGTTCTTGATTTTATGTGGAAAGCATTCAGTCTGTCTTCATTGAGTATGATATTAGCTATAGATTTTTTATAGATGCTCCATTCATAAAGTTGAGAAAGTTTCCTTATATTCCTGGTTTTATAAGCATTTTTGTTATGATTGTATGCTAGATTTTGTCAAACACTTTTTGTCCCTTAATATGATTATATGAATTTTCTTCTTTAGCTGTTGATATGATAGATTATATTAATTGGTTTTTGAATGTTGAACCTGCCTTTCCTACCTGTAATAAATCTTAGTTCTTGTCACTGATTTTATACATTCCTAATTTTGAATTTCATCTTCTTTTGTTTGGTATTTTCACACCAAAGTTCATGAGAGTCACTGGGCTGTAGCCTTCCTTCCTTCCTTCCTTCCTTCCTTATTAAGGTTTTATTAGCCTGATAATACTAGCCTTATAAAATGAGTTAGGAAGTGTTCTCTTTTCTGTTTTCTAGAAGGAATTGTATAAAATTGGTTAATTCTTCTCTAAATAGTTAATAGATTTCTCCAGTGAAATAATATGGGCCTGGAGATTCCTTTTAAAGAAGTTTTTAATTACCAATTCAATTTTTTAAATAGTTATAAGATTATTCAAGTTGTCTATTTTGTCTTGATTGAGCTTTGGTAGTTTGTAGTTTTTGAGAATTTTCCATTTTTTCTGAGTTGTCAGATTTATGAATGTAAAGTTTTTCATGGTATTCTCTTATTATCTTATTAATGACTACAGGATCTATAGTGCCTCATTATATTATTGATTTGTACCTTCTCTTTTTTATTTTTGTCAGTTTTGTTAGGTTTATCAATTGTATTGATTTTTCACAGAACTAGCTTTTTATTGATTTTTCCTTATTTCTTCTGTTTTCAATTTTATTGATTTTTGCTCTTATCTCT